CAGGAATGAAACAGGTTAAAATGACTGTATGGTTAATGAATACCCTTTAGTTTTGTATCAGTAATTCCATAAATAAGCTAAAAAGTAAAAACATTTAGCAAATGCAATATCATTTAATTAGCACTGAAGACTACAAACAGGAACTAAGGGGAACACCCAAACAAAACTACAGGAGATATACAGCAGCTTTAAATTTAAGACAAAACAACATACATATTAAGCTAGCCCAACCACACATGTAATTTGTTCTTTAGTGTTTTGGAAGGGTGGTTTTTGTTTAAAATGAGCAAAGGTTTTGTAAAGGAAAGGCTGAGGATGATGTGTTTTGCATTTAGCTCTGAACAGGTGCTAACCACGCATACAAAAAACTGTCTCTCTAAGTTGTCTAACTGTTTTACAGTTGGCCACTGTAAAAGTAAGTGCCAAGAACACTAGTAATTTTTTTTTAAAATAGTTACCTACAACTAAAGCATTATCTGAAAAAATGACTAATTTTTATATTTACTTATTCTTTCTTTCATTTCCTCTGAGCTTGAACAATGAAAGTAAATTGTTCAGTATCATTTATTTTTACTATGTTTTTAGTAGTTTTTATTTTATTCTTGATGCACTAGTGCAATGCTGATCTGTTTGATCCTTGACTATTCAAAGACTTTTAAAATGTTTCCATTTGAACATATTTTTATTAGCTTTACAATAAATTTTATAAGAACTTGTTTATAACCATTGCTGAATTTAAGGTCAATTTTTACATCCCACTTAAGCATTTTTCCTTTTAATATGATCTTTACAAGCAAATACTACACAGCATTAACATCTGTTTAGTCATTGTTTTCTTTTGGACACAGGACAAAAGTCCTATTTGGGAGAGGAAACAGCTTGAAAAAAAGAATTCATCTACCTCGGACTCACCTTACCCCAGTAGTAGATTATATGACTACAGTCCTCTGCACAAAGAGCAAAAGACTCTGCAGGACAGTGGTATAATTAATGCAGGGAGGCAGGAGGGGTGCAAAAAATGGTAGCTCTGACAGGTGTGCAAATCACAGTTGTGATCAGGCCAACAACCATAAGCTGCCGCTGCCTCTATGTTGCTACACTGCTGCCACAGGATCATTAATAACGCATTTGGTGTAAAATCATATTCTCTGATATAGTGTTGCTAGTATAATTCAGTTCACTAAGATGACCTTACTATGGCCTAATACTACAGGGGGGAGAGGGGTAGCTCTCTCTATATTCTGAACAGAAGAGCCATTAATCTATCATATTTATTTGTATTATACTAGCACTTACAGGCCCAAATCAAGATCAGGATCCTACTGCACTGGAAGCTAACTAGGAAGCTACCACGAAGGAAGAAAGAGTTCTTACATCAAACAAATCCAAGGCCTTGTCTATACACACTTTTCTGAGGTAAAACTGTATACAATTTGTGGGGACTCTGGGGTCCTTACACAAATGTAAAAACACAGTTTAAACTGCAAATGGCCAGGTGTACAAGCCATTCTTGACTGGTCTGAACCTCCGGAACAGTATCAGAAGTACAGCTGGATAATCTGGTATTATTTTGAATTAGTTCTCTGTGAACCAGTTCACTATTATAGGCAGATACAGTCCCAAGTTTTTTCAAGACTCGCATCTGGACGGTCGGCCAGGCATCACACACTGCACTGCTTCTCAAGCCTCCCTCCCCCAACAACAGAGTAACTGGCTGCTCTGTTATGCAGCCAGAACTCCGCTGCTCCAACTCCTATTGCCAGCACTTGACCACAATGTCCATGGCTAGGGCCTCTGGAGGTAGCCCTCTGTTGTTTTTAAAAAGCTGATTATTTTTTTTCTGTTGCTGGTAACTGAACAGGCTTACTTGTAGGTGGGATATGGCAGGTGGGACATGACCACAGGGGCTGTGGGTACACAGCTTAGACCCCTCCTTCTGTGTGCCTGGAGGCTGACCAAGGACTCCGCTGCTACCAATGGAAGAAAACTGACTAGGTCTTAAAAAAAAGCAAGTGAGAGCTGCTCCAGAACCCCCAGCCACATGTAAGTGGGAGCCCAGGCAGCCATCCACTCACCACCTGATCACTCCTCAACATCTACCCCCAATCCTAAGCCTGGGACTTGCAGAACCCCAGTCAACTGCCACCAATGTAAGGAAACTGACCAGTTTTGAAAGTGGCAGAGAACTGCCCCCTGAACCTCTAAGGCCCAAACACAAAGCAGCAGGGGTCCAGGCAGCTCCCCTCCCCCATTGCCTGGCCACGCTTCCAACCCCAAATCAGCCTGGGATGCACCAAACCATGGTCAATTTCCAAGAACTAAAGTAAACTAATGAGTGGCTTGGGGAAAAATGCTCTTTAAAAGTTGCAAAAGTTTTGGTAGCTCCAGAGCATCAAGCTCCCTGGGAACAGAGAAGCCCTACATACACATCTAGCCAATCCCGCTGAGGGTAGAACTACACAGATTTCAGCAAAGTGCAGGAAAACGTCTTTATTGAAGTCAAAGTTAGCGAGAAGGGGGAGCAGAAAATTGCAATTGATCTGGGTACTCGCTATCACCCCTGGTTATTTATGCAAAGGCACTGCATAAAAGGTGACCATTCTACTTCGAACTCTTAGCAATGTGTGTGCAGACAACTGAGTCAGGACGAATGTGACCCAGTTTCCAATCAGTGATATTCTCAGAATGGTACAACTGCTGTCTTTCTGCACCCACACACTGCAGTTTTAAAAAGCTGTATACAGGCTCAAGTTAGCTGCATTGATTTCACTAAGTTATTTTAAACCAGGGATGTCAAACTCATCCCAGACCCTAGACTGGATCCAGACCACAGGGGCTCCTCCTGGGCTAGACTCATGGCAACTGCAGCAGGTATGGTGGCAGCAGGGAACTTCCAGGGACAGCAGCAGAGACCTGGAGGCAGCAGCAGTAGTAGAGCAAACAAGGACTGTGCCTGTGCAGCCCTTACCCACTCCTTGCTGCCAACAACCATGTCCATCAGGATCTAGGGACCCACAGTTTGTCAGCATGCCATGTTCTACTAGCCTGGTCTCCCAACTTCTTATCTAAACTAGTGTCAGGCCAGATGGAACAGTTCCCTGGGCCAGATCCAGGTCATGTGTGTGACACCCCTGTTTTGGACCTATCTGAGCATATACAACAAACTCGTTTGTGGAAACAAACCCCATTGAATATTCTAACTAGAATAAAAATTTGTGTCCATTTTACAAAATGGAAATTGTAGCACAGAAAAATTGATGTTTTACCTGCACTGCATCCTCCCAACATAACAAGACCACACTTCTTCTGTCTGCCATTTGAAGTACAAGTCTTAGACTTTATTTTAAGGAATATGTGATCCTATACTATTTATAGGTATAAGAATCTTTATCTGAACATATAAAACCTGATTCAGGACCAACAAAACAACTTCCCAACTCCAAGAGCTCTTTATCTAATGTTAAACATAAACCCCTTTTTGGTTATAAAACTAGTTTATTCCATAAATCCATGTTATGACTTTATTAAATTGAAAGGTGGCTTTTCTATAAGTGTGTGGTCTCAATCCCATTAAGCAAAAGGGTCATAAGCAGATGACCGCCACTGTATCAGGGCACTTTCCAAAGAGAGCAGTGGATGATAACCTTAGTGTCCCAGCCAGCATTTCTTTTCTCACTACAAACAGGTTATAAAGTCCAAGGCTGTATATGTACAAGCCAACATTGTGTTTTGGTTACATAGAACTGTAATACTTAATTCAGTATTTTTAACATGCTTTGGGAAAACAATTTGATTGGATTCTGTCTGTATCTAACTGGTTACAGAGATGGTTTCTCTTCTATAGGCAGACAAGGTTCTTTGGGTGAATCTGATATCTTTTATTAGACTAACTTAAATAGTTGGGAAAAAAAAATTAAGCAAGCTTTTGGGTTTAAAAACCCTTCATTTCTGCAGAAACTTCCTCAACCTGACAATGGGTTTTTAAACCCAAAAGCATGCTTAAAATTTTTTTCCAACTATTTAAGTTGGTCTAATAAAAGATATCAGATTCATCCAAAGAACCTTGTCTGTCTATGTCCTTAGACCAACAGAGCTACAACCTACAGCCCTTTCTCTTCTATATACATTATTTTTAAATAATGGTACTTAACATAAAAGGACCCACGTGCTCAGCAGCACAACCGAGGCAAACTTACTCTACAGTTTCATGTCAGGGAACTCAATGGTGTTGCAATCAACCAGCTGTTGGAAAGAACTTAAGAAATCTGGGTAAAACTCCCTTTCCGGATCCCAAGCTGCTGACACAGCCTTTAAGAGGGAGGACAGCTCTATACCCTTGCCACTCTAATAAGGAAGATGTCATGAAGCTGATGTTGTGTGGTGTATCATAAGCCTGACTATCCCCACACGCTTTGCATGTGGAACAGGTCAGCGCCTGGCCAGTGGACATGGTCCATTTGCTCAGCACATGCACATACCTGCCCTTCACCAGGCTATAAGCCTATCCCAGAGAAACCTTGATGACTCAAGACAGCCCTCTTACCAAGTATTTATGTAACCTAACACACTCTCTTTGTAGTGAAAGCACACACCAAAAAAGAGGCTATAGCCACATTGCAGTTTGAGCAAACTGTTTGGTGCAAAATAGTCTGACGGCAGGAAAACAGCATATTTATGGCTGAAAAATGGAATTCAACAACAGTTTGGCAAAGATCCAAATCTGAGGGCAGAATGGAATACACAGCCACCTGTTAAGAGCAAATACCTTATTTTCTTTGCACAGAGCATGCCCCTGTATATAGTTGGTTGCTGTTGGGTGGGCTGAAGCTCAAACTCTGCTGATGTTCAAACTACAAATGCAGTGGGAATGCAGAAGCTGAAGTACAAATCATTAGATGATAATCTATTCATTTTGCAAATCTTATAAAACTCAGCAGTATCAAAGATATGGCCCGTGGGGCCAGCAATGGTACATACTGTATGCCACATGCAGGGGCAGTTTTTGAAGTTCACTAAATACAGCCTTGTAACAGGAAACCAAAGGCTCCTTTAACTAGATAGGGGAAGAGAAGAGACTAAAATGATGACAGAGGTAAGCAGACCTCAGGAAAGAGGCGATCTGCACATTGATGGGCAAGACAAATAACAGAGACATGCTGGCAGGTATGAGCCAGGGGCTTCAGGCAGTCAAGCCATGCTGCAGTCAGTAAGCAGGACAGGCTGCACATTAGGACTAGAGAGGCACAGCTGTGCAGGAGCTAAAAAGACACCCAATTAGAAGGGTGTCCAAGGCACTTACAAACCCTGCAGTTTGAGCAAGGGTGGCCAATCCAGCATTCCAGAGGGAACAGAGCTCCCAGGAGGGGAAGAGCTGCCAAAGAGACCTTGACTGGCATGGAGCACCTGGAGACAGAGAGGTGAGAGCCCAGCAGTAAGAGGACTGGCCAAGTGTTATTTTACCCCAAGAAAGGGAAGAAAGAAGTTTTGTTGTAAGCAGATGCTTGCCCTTTTTTTGTTCTAGTTTAGACTAGTGGACCAGGTGTGGCTAAAAGGGATAGCAAGAAGGCCACAGGGGTGCCCATGGGGCATATGGATATTTTGAGTCTTGCCAGGGCTGGGCACAAGACACAGGCAGGCAGGCAGGAACCCAGAGGGTCAAAGCCTGAGTAGCAAAGGTGAGAGGTGGCCTGAGACCATGAAGGCTAGAGCAAAAGCCTACGGGCAAAACAGAGCTAGCACTAAAGTGTTGAGGTCCTACACAGGCTAAAGGGGGACCCAGATAAAGAAAGGGGGCCAAAGCTGGGAAGGCTGAAGCCAGAACAAGGGATTAGAGGCCTGAATAGGCCAAGTATTGCACTCGGGGCAAGTTGCCCTGATGAAGTGTTAACTAGTATCTTTTGCGAGGCAGAGGTGTAGCTCTAAGTGCAGAAGAATGCCATGAATCTAGCCCTCTAGGCCAGCGGGGCCTGAGGATACAGGCACTGAGGGCATGACAAGAGACAGACAAGAGAGAGAGAACATGCCCCAAGGATGGACATGCCCCATGGGGCTGATGGAGATGTCCATCAGCCCCAAGGACAGCCTCCCCTCATTACTTTTCTTTAACATCAAGGCTTGGCAGGCAAGTGAGCAGGTTGAGACCTCGGGAGATTTGAGTAGGGGCTGGACTGGACAGAGGTGGCCACTAGGGGGAATCATGGCAATCCTTAGGCACCATATTGTCATGGGCCCTAACACCACTCATCTAGCCTGCAGACCAGTCCCAGGCCATTCATCTGGTCCACAGGAGTCCAATGAGCTAGATGCCCCAGATTTAGCTATACACATGGTTAAAACACTCTGTGTACCTGGGTGGTGTGTCGCAGAATGGTGGCTCTAACCTGAGCAAGAGAAGACAAAGAGTAAGTCTATAATGCAGTGACTATAGCTTATGCAGCCATACCCGAGCTAGCTTTAGACTAGCTATCTGAGATACCATTAATAGTGTAGCCTTAGCTGCATGCAACTCAGTGGAGGCTGCAAAATCCGCTTAAGAAGAGAAAATACTCCAGTGGTCAGACCATACTGACTGCCGTACTATTCCAGATATGGTGCTAGCAGCACCTGAGTATTTATTTTAAAGAGCTAGCTCTTGCATGTCTACCCTATCTGCAGCGACTGCAAGGCAAAACCTTCCATACTACTAATGTAAACAGTGGCCACCTCTAACATTAGCTGCAGTCTTACTGTTCTCAGTTGAGGTACACTAATTGAGGCTAACTGGACTATAAATAACTCAAGTCAATGCTCAGGGCTTGTTTTCACTGCAAAAATTAGAAGCAAGAGACACTTAAGATGAAAAAGTCCCATTACGGTATGCAGCGCAAATCTGTAATTTAAACACTGCTTGTACTCCATGGCAAGGTGAACTTACACTATACATGAAGGCCATTCTTTCTGTGGCACTTTTACAGTGGATTAGAAATGCTGCCATGACTTCAAATCATTTCTAAACCTCAACTTATTATCATATTTAATATGATAGAAGAATTAATGCAGTATCCCTTTTATTAAGTTAAATCTGGTTTCCTCTG